GTTGAAAGTTCCATCGTATTCCTGTTCCTCGCGCGGTTGTATGTTTCAGCTCGAGAGGCCGAAAAAGAAATTTTTGGAGGACGAATTCTTTTACCAAACATGTCGGCTAGCGAATGTGATCAAAATTGACGTGAGAGTAACAAGCAGACTGAAGAAGCGAATATTGTGGTTATTTTGGAGAAAATTTGAGAAGGACTACGAACAAATGAACAAGTGCACATGGAGAATTGCTTGCGATTGCACAATGAATGACTGTAGAAGCAAAACTTCACTATAGAACGAAAAACTGAAAGGGGGAAACCCCTTGTGCTACGAGCACAAAAGCCCTACTACTACTACTACTACTAACCGAACTTGTTTTGTTTTGTTTTGTTTATTGCTTGTTTTCTGATGTTGTGTTTTTGTTTGATGTAACCAATTAATTTTAACCAACTTTATTATTTACACTTTGCTATACTGATGCCTCGGCTTTTATTGTATAGTAATTCAGGTGTTCTTTCTCTTTCTTCTAGTTGAAACAAGAAAACTTACAGTCCATAGAATTTTTTTGTCATACATAATTTTTTGTCCAATGACTTATTACTCCGATTACAGATTAAAATTGCGATGTGTTTTCCTTTTTTCCCCAGATAATTCTAGTTCAAAATATCAAGATCCGATCGATGTACCAATTGGGGACCGATTTGTTTGTTTTCCGAAGATCAGACTGAAAACACGAGGTGCTCTTAACAATCCATTATATGACTTTTGCGATAGTCCCTGCTTAAACTCTCCTCGGTTCATAATGACTTCAAGTTCACATTTGTTTAATTGATAAGACTGGAAAGGTTTTAAAAAAGTGAGATCTTTGCTCGAATATAAACCTTCAGTCAGAAGCTTAACTGTCCTTGAAGAGGGCCCCTTTATCAAGAATTGATTCTCCTTCCTTTTATCAAAATATAAACGATTCTTCCGTAGAAGCGTGAAGGTTACAGCTCTTTCAGTTCTTGTTATTGTTGGGGATTTCCAGCCCAAGTGAAAGGATTTTGAACCCAGGTGGATTTGTTCTGCTCCGTAACTCGCTCGTCGAATAATTCCTCAATAATTTCGCAATTCTTATATTTAGTCCTTGTTTTTTCAAGAAGTTATTTTTGTGATCAGTCGACTAGCCCTGAAAGAATTCTCTTCTCGGTTTGAGTTCTCTTGAATTTGAAGATAGAGGAAACTCAATCATTGAAGGTAGATCAATTTAGTCGCTCTTTCAATGTAAGATTTCAGATTCAATTCCAGTTACCCACAGATTTTTGGAAATCGTTTTAGTTTGGTCAGACCTGTTCGCGCGGTACTTGAGCTCAATAATCCATTAGATATTAGATAACCCAGCTAAATCAGTGATTTTTAGTGCCCGAGTTTTTTGCATTTTTACTCTGTTTTTTCGGCTGCAATAAATTTTTGTTGTCTTTTCTTAATCCTGACTCAATATGTTCCGACCAGGACCATGAGAGATCCTTTGAGACATATTTTCCGTAATCTTTTCTCACGTTTGAGTTTTCTAAGGTCTCTCTACATAGTGTTATCAAACTGTTAAGCTAATAAAATAAGCTTATGTGAGACGCACGCTCACCTTATTAGCTATAAATTGGACCAAACAACAAAAGTTTGAAACCGGTTTTTCTCGACAGGGAAGTTGTTTTAAATTTTGTTTGAATCACGATTGAAAGGAATTGAATTTGATTTTTCACTCGACTTATTCCGATGATATTGTGGTACATGATTTTGCGAGGAAAACAAAAAGGAAGCAATTATTAAATACAAAATTCCTCCCCATTTTTCAAATGGTCGGAACAATTAGATAAAAGGACTCAGAAAGTTTTTATAAACATGTACAATGTATATTTAGGTCGAACAGGTCCGTGAAGTTTTCGAGCTTTTAAAAGGTTTTTGAAATACGATTTGAAATTTTTTTTTCATCGTAGCTTTTTATTCGCTTCTTACTTGAAAGAAAACCTTGAATGGAGCCAGGTCTTAGTTTTATCCTAAATTATGAGGTTATAGAATCGCAGAAATTCTTTGCTTGATTCTGAAGAAAAAGGCGCTAGAGAAGGACAGTTTTTTTACGCCCAAGGACAGGCTTATATTTTTGTATCGGAATCGATGCGAAGATCTGCTTTGCGACTCCATTAATATTTCGTGTTGCTTATAAAGTCTTTGTGACAATTTGCTACATAGCAGATAAAATTGTATCTCTTCTGACTTACTTATGTCTTCCGATATTATACGCCTGAGCTAACTAATCAAGAGCCGATTGATAATCAGTTATTTTGCCACACCCAACATTTCTTTTTATTGCTTGCATAGATGAGGATAATTTTCCACTGAAGTGAAAATTGCCAAAAAAGCTGAACACCATTATTGAAAAAAGATGGACCCAATACGTCCTCAATTTAATCGATATTTCAATAACCTGTGTAATTTCCAAAAAAAAATGAGATTTTTTTCTGCTTAAATCACAGGGCATCAAAAGTGGAAAGACATCAAAATCTATTTCTTTTTTAGTTTGGGTTTTGCGCAAAAGTTTTCACACAAAATGCGCTTACATACGGGGTACTGAAAGTTATCGAAAAGATATCGATTCGAAAAAAAAGATTGCTGATACAGTCTGGTTGGAACTTGAAGAAGCTTTCGACTCTATTTTTCATGAAATGTTAGTTCAAAAGTATCGCTGTTTTGGCTTTTCAGTCAAATGAAATGCATTAATTGAAAGTTTTTTTTTTGAGTAAAGGCGTTCAAAGAGCAAATCATTGCATTTTTTTACACTGGTTAAAGTCAAGAGAGGTGTGCCGCAAGAAATTACTGGGTCCGTTGTCGTTCAACTTATATCTCAACGTTATTCTAAGTTTTATCTGCGATGGATGTACTTGGACACAGCATGCACACAGTTGCATTTTGCATGCGTCATCTATCTCTTCAAGTGATGCTCAGTCAATAACAAATCTCAAAGAAATTGCTACCCTTTTGGCGAGAATCAGTTGAGTTTAAATGCATCAAAATCGGAACTTATTGTAAAATTTTTGTCAAATTATTTGTAGTCCCTATTTTTGGAATCAGACCAGTTTGTTATCAATGAACATTATGAAGAGAAAAAACTAAGAGCAATCACTTACATTTGATTATAGATGCTAATCTCTCATTTCATCTTAACGAAAATTTCGCGAAAAAATATCAGAATTAGGACCATAGATACAATTGGAAAACTGCATGCACTATCTTTGGCCGCCTTTCTTTTCTGTTTAGTTTTCTATTTAGATTATGCAGCAATTTTTTTTGCACAATTTCATGCGACTTCAATACTGTCCTGAGAGAACCAGTTGAACTGGTCCCCAAAACGCACGTTTTTCAGATCCAAAATAAAATCATCCGACTCTCTGCGTAAAAGATTCCTTCAGCTGAATTAGGAGCGAATCAATTATATATTCAAATGAGGGCTTCACTATCTCGCCATGTTCAAGAGTTTTCAACGTAATATTTTTGCATGTTTAACGAAAGAATTTTAGCACGTTTAAGCTGTATCGTTTTTTGCAATTGTTAAGATTTTTTTTTCGTGTTTCTAGTTTGAATTCAGTGGTTATTCCACCGAGCTCAAAATAGGCAGCCCAATAGTGGGACGCTGTCAGGATTTCCCAAGGGGTTGCGAGTTTGGCCTCCAAGTAAGAATGCTCAAATCCTTCTAGTGTACGAGTGCGACGATTTTTGTGGTTTTTTCAAAATTTCCTGAAAACGCAAATTACAAAATAATTAAGAAAACTTGAAATTCACAACTCTGTAATTGGATGCATTCAGAGTGCAATAAAACTTTGCAGATCTTGTTTCCATCATATGCGGTTTTTCATGAATAGTCGAAAATTTTCGAAGTACCGGAGTTGCGTCAAACGCTAGTTGAATTGAAGCGTGTAACTAATCTATAACAATATCTCTTTAATATGTGTATGTATGTATTTTGGATTCGGCCCTGTGCTCCCGGGTTTACTCCTTTAATCAAGATGTGTTCTACTGCTCAAATTCTTCGAAAAATGGAGATAAGTTAGTTGTAGTTTGTTTCAAAGTGTATATATTGAGAGAAAAGAATTTGTTTTTTTTAGCTGTTTTTGGTCTGTGAATTCAACGCTCCTTGGTAATCTGTTAACAAGGGCACCGGATCTGAAAAACAAAACCTGCTCAAGTTTGAATAGTAGTGGTTTCTTGCGTTCGAAGACGATGTCATTCTCTGATCTCAATTCACTCGATTGGTCTTTCATTTTCACATCGCGGCAATCGAAATCGTACGCGCCATTATACATTTGTCCAGTAGTAGAAGATCTAATTAGAGGAAAGCTTTTGAGAATGAATTAAAATTACTGAGAGCCGATTACAGATTGAATCATCGCATATTTCTTGATAATCACTGTTCAACTGCTTCTCTGCAAAATCTATTTTTGCCAGTAAAATTACGAAAAATTGAGAACTCTTCTTCAACGTTTAAGTAAAAGTTGAGCGATTTTAACACTAGTGAAATGCAGTCTAAACGACTATGGAAGCACACAAATACATGGCGTGATTTCCGTTTTCATAGAAGGTTTTTATACATCACCAATTATTTTTACCGATGGTTTTATGGCTTAGTTGTTTTTTATTTACGTCCAAGTGTATATTTATTTGCGTTGTTAAGTCTTAATTTGATGATTTTATTCCAGGAGTAAACTCATCGCATTTTAATCATTTGTTTTCTTGATTTTACCGAATACTAATTAAGAAACTTATCTGAAAATCTTCATTACACTTTACTGTACTGATGAACGGACTTTTATACAGTAATTCAAGTGTTCTTTCTTCCCATAGTGGTACGACGTGTGTTTTTGATAATTGCGGTAGCGTAAGTATACACTCGGAATGGCTTTTTTCAACCGAATCATTGGCAAGAAGAAAAAATCATCCAAATTTCGCTTGTATTTTGAGTCGAATGTGCATTTAGTTGGTTATTTTAGAGTGAAATGACAATTACTCGACTACGGGAGCGGCAAATAGGTACGTCCTTGCAAATGACATTATCTTTATAGATCTTTGTACAGGGTTAAAATTGATTCTTTTTAGTGGCCTTGAAGCAGCTGATTAACTTAAATGCTGAAGTATCAAAAAAGCAGCTAGCAGCAGAACCACAATGGAAGGTAAGCGTGTTGTCATCTGGTTTTAACTTACGAAATTGTTAAGTTTATGCAACTCCCTTGCTTGAATGATACTAGCAGAATGAAATCAAGTTTTGTCAATTTTGGAGACACCTATGATTTCAGGTCTTGATATTCGACAGGTATGGCAAAGAAATCATTTTTTCACTCCTCAGCATCAAAGAAATCAGGGAACTTGGAGTCACCTTAACACTGTAAGTTCTTCGTCGTGTTTGTATTTCAAATTTGAATTTCGAGTGTTTTTTAAAGTCTGATCGGTTTTAGATTAATCCATTCAGAACGAGAAGCAATTGAAGATGTTCCGGCAATATATTTTTGCGTTCCTACAGAAGAAAATGTTCAGCGAATTAGTTCTGTGAGCTTACTTTTACTTTTTAAACTTAATTACACTTGCGATAGCAAGTGTATTGCAATCGGGTACTAGAATTTTTTTCTGTTTAATGCAACAGACATTATGAATTATTATTTGAAATTATTTAATTTTTTGTTTAGTTTGGCTTTATAGTTTTGGCCTATATTATATCGGTTTAGTGGCCTAGTACCGCGTCGTTTGACGAGCGAAAAAATTTTCTGCGTTTGTGTGTTTTTCGAGGGTGAGGGGGACTTAAAATTGTTTTACAAGTCTCGTTGATTTGGTCGGCTTGAAGGGTTTCTGCTCCGGTAGTTTCGGCTTTGCTACCGCTGGGTAAGTTTTTTTACGACGATAGTTTCTCATTGTCTTGGCAGGGTTTTTTAAAATCAAAACTAGTTTTATTCATTTTGACACTTAAGTTTTTCGACGTAGCGGCTGTCTTATTTTCTGGCACTAAGATCCGCTCCGTCTCTGCGTGTTAGGTTTTATGTTATAAATATTTGAGAGGTGTTTCTAGGATTGCGGGAACTTCATGTATGAAAAGTTGTATCTCAATTTTATTGGCCAAGTGTCCAGGCGTATGCTAGAAGATCTTGCTACCAGAACAGTGCAAACAAATTCAGCCAATATGATTGCAAAGGTTAGAATTGTTCTGTATGTCCTCCATCATGGTTTATTATGTTATATATTTGATTTAATGTTTTTTTTTGCTCTTGTTTGCTTTCAAGGTTTTCGACCAGTACCTCAACTTCATCTCCCTGGAGTCTTCTTTATTCACTCTCAGACACAGCAATCGAGACATCATTTCATATCACAGTTAGAAAAACATCCATATAATATTCTATGTCATTGAGGGTTTCGGCACCGCGGATTGCTATATTTATCCTAGGGATGGGTTGGCACAATTTAACGATTATATTAACGGCCTGAATTGCCAATTCCAGTGATATGTTGAAATTAAGACTTTTCATGAGAAAGCGATAAATAAATTTAATGTTTCCTGTCCATAAAGCACGAAAAAAGAAATTCGGAAGAACATACTTTTAGCTCTGAACTCTTCGAAGACGAAAGACGCTGAGATTGAGCAGAGTCTGCAGTTAATGGCCGAGAGTCTGTTCTCAGTGTGTGTGACACTGGGCACTGTTCCTATCATTCGAGCTCAGAAAGAAACAGCCGCAGAAATGCTCGCGCAGGTTAGACTTTCTTTGATGTCTCTGAAAGAGTAAAAAACTTCAGTGCCTTCATTACGACAATATTTTTACGGCAATATAATGTGCAGCCAGAGGCCTAACTCGAAGGTTAATTTTTGTAATCTTGACTAGGCTATGACTTGTAAAAATAAACAGGCAATTTTTTCTAGCCCGACAAATTGGTGAATCGACTAATTGATAATGAACGTAGTGAAGACACTTATACAGGCGGTGATTATTTTTTCAGGAATCACGTATAAATTTGACTTTTGCTAGTTTGACTTATGTTTGAGTTCAATTCAAAGTCATTTGCAAAAAAGGAAGGCAAATCACGTTCTTCAATGCTGAAAACAGCTTTCGGTTTGCAGATATCTGGCCTGTCTGGTGTCCCTCCAACTTGGGATTTTTAAAATATAATTAGTTAAGTAATTTATGGGCAAATTGTCTCCTTGAAAACGAATTTATTATTTTTAAAAGATCGTCGAAGTGGTGAAAAAGGTAAAAGCGTGAATGGATTTTAATGTAAAAGTAAATATACAACAGCGGAATAAAAACTACTTATTTATTCAGTTTTTTCTATTTGGATCAGTTTTACGGAAACTAAGTCTCGATCATAAAATATTTTTGAAACATATTTTTTGAAATCATTTTCGCAATTCCATCTAAGACTTTATCTAATTAGATCCTGGACAAGAAATTCCGGGAGCACCTGAAAGACAGTCGGTCAAACTTGTTCGTGCAGGACTCATTCCAGGCGGGACAGATGTCGTTCCAGCGACCTCTGCTGATTCTCTTGGACAGAAATTTAGATTTGGCCACGCCTCTTCATCATACGTGGACTTACCAGGCTCTTGTGCACGACACATTAGAGCTGCAGCTTAATAAAATCAGAAGTGAGTTCAACAATACAAAAAAGTATGAATAATGGGCCCGAAAAATTTGTGGTGAAAATATTCCAGGGGTTCAACGTTTCTTTGTTATGTTGCAGTGTGAATTTAGCTTTAGCCCGGTGAAAGTTTGTTCATTTTATTTTGGTTATCAGCATCATTTTATTTTGGTTATCAGTTAGTGAGAGTGCTGGGCGACCTGTGAAGGACCACGATTTGGGACCCGCAGACAAGTTCTGGCAGGAGCAGAAAGGAAACCCCTTCCCTACAGTGGCAGAGGCTATCCAAGAGAGTCTTGAGGCGTACAAAGCGTCTGAGGGGGAAGTCACCGCACTCAAGGTTAATTAAGCTACGATAGTGTAGGATTCACCATAAAAACCTCAGTTTTTTGGAAATCTGGTGAAGCTTGGCCCTTAATTTACGAGGCATGATATTTAATTCCTTTCTTTATTGCTACTGTCATAAAGTTTCTAGCTGTTTATTATTTCTAGCTAAACCATTGTGTTCAGTTTTTAATTTTTTTTTCACGCCGAAATTTCTAACAATGTCCTAAATTGTGAGTTTTGATTTGCAATTAATGAGGTTAGTTTTTAACCTTCAGACTTAAAAAAGTGTTATGGATATGAAATGATTTGCGTCTCGAGATCAGCATTTGAGTTTTGTTGAATTTTCCTTGTTGTTGCAGGCCCAAATGGGACTGGACGACGAGGCAGGTGACATAGCAGCTGAACTAGTGAGTGACAACACCACTCTGCTGGCGAATGCAGTAAGTAGTCTGCCAGAACTACTGGAGAAGAAACGACATCTGAATCTGCACATGAACATGGCCAGTGCTGTGCTTGAGGAGGTGAAGAGACGAAAGCTGGACCAGTTTTTTGAAACAGAAGTAAGTGCTTCTGGTAGTTGTTTTTTTTTCGAATCATGGCCTCTAGACTCTTGTATAGAGGCCATGATTTTTTACAGTTTTTTTTTCATGAAAAGTCTTGAAATGTTCTAATAACAAAAGAGTTGCCTTCTAAATTATAAATGCACATGTGAATTCCCTTTTGAGTTCAATTCAATTATATTTGCTAGAAGTTAGGCAAAATGTACTCTCCAATTATGAAAGCTGAAACAGCGAGAAAAAACTAGATCGACTTCTAGTTTCAAAGTTTGCAGATATCACAGCGCGATAAAAAGTTTACCTTTTGATCCAGATTTCTCAAATTGGGTTAATTTATCCAAAAAAAATGTCAATCATACATTGTTCTTAAAATTGAAAGAGCTCTAAGGCCATATGTTTTTTGTTTAAATTTCGAAAATTGAGGTTTTTTCAGAACATAAGTCCATTTTTTGCGTTCCTTGACTCTTTTGAAGCTGTCTGTTGGCTATGTTTCTTGCTGGAGACTTATTAAAAATCGTAAATATGGGCTGTCAGTGTTTTTCGAAAGGCAACTTACCAATTTTTGCGAGTTGTTGCATGCAAATTTGTCGTGCTCAAGGCTGTTTTAAAAAAATCGCCTGCGCTACTATTTGCAAGATGAGCTCTTGTAAGTAAGTCATACCTTGAGGTTAAATAGTTGAACTCCGAAAGGGACTTCTGGCTGCTTAACTTGAAAAAGCTTTTTTCGCTTAGAACTACGGTAACAAAGTTACTTTCTACCGAGTGTCATGTTCAGTTTTGCAAAGATTGAGGTATTTAATTTTTTTTGTCGAATATCGGCAACGCTGCGTTTCTTGATAGTTGTTGGGGGTAAGCGTCTCATGTCATATTTTCATTCATGAGAAAAAATTAATAAAATGATTTCATTCTGACGGTTCAGATCTAAAAGCCAGCATCGTAGAAAAAGACTCCGGCTCAGAAATCATTCCAAATTGAATTGAGACAAGCAATTTGATCTAAATGTTGCGTTGAAAGACCCAAAGTTTTTTATTGACATTGTGTGTTGGGGAAGTCGATTTCAAAATACGAACTTTTGGCTCTTTTCAACCCCTCCCCGAATTGTGAGGGCGCCATTTGAAAGTATCTGTTTTCATAGTTATGTTGCGTGTTATTATGGCTAAATGGGTAATGTTACGATGTAAAGTATGAAGAACAAATCTAGTCACAATAGATAGTTTGTTCACCTTGCCAAGTTTTATTGCATTATACCGTTAAAATGCTTTTTACTCATGTGGTCCGGAATATGATACTACATGGCTACTTTTCTTGTTTCCAACCTAAGTCGCATTTATTTGTGCTATGTTTGTTTGGTGGTTCTTTTGCAGCAGGCAGCATTGGCATTTTAATGCAAGTGCTTCGATATTTGACTAGTAATAAGTTAAAAAAGCTGACGCATTTTTAAATTCATCAATTAGACCAAAAAAAGCAATTTGTCGCATACAACAGTACAATCATTAGACCAGCAAAGCTTGGGTTATAGTATGAATTACCTTTTTTTCCAACCTTAGTCGCAAATATTGTTGCGACGCAAATATTGTTGTGACAAAATGTGTTCATTTTGATCAATAACCAGCTATTAAGTACAGCCAATGCTAAGGATATTATTAACACAGACTATTATATTACTAATAGCATTTCAGCTCCAAGGTATCATGGATCTGTAGCGTAGAGGTAGGAAAGGAGACCCGCAGCAAATTAAGAGGCGGCAGGGTCAGATATTTTTGAACTTTTTCATATACTAGTTAAAATGCGTCCGCTCTATAAATTGAGGCATGTTACTTGGTAATTTTTTTTTCAAATTGACTGATACTGCTAATGCGTCATAATTGACTTGCGTCAATTAGCAATTATTTAGACTCATAATTGGCTTGCGTCACTTAAGAAATTTTGTAGACTCGAAGTTTTACTCATTCAGTTTTTCCCAGTAGCGTTATCGGTCTTATTTTTGCTTGTGCATGCGAAGTGCAACTTCGCCTCTGTGTAAAATCTCTGTTTCGGAAATTGTCCAACTCTGTATTTTGGCTTGATAGTTTTCAGTTTCTTACATGCAATGTGATTGCCTATGATTAGTATTTGGCTGAACTTTTGCTCAAGAAATGAGACTCGAAATCCGGAGGTTGGAATCCATTGCGTACCACAAATTTTGTTCTACAAGTTTTTTTCTCATTGAAACTCGATTAAAGTAATTCAGATTCTTGTATTGTTCGTGATATTTTTTTTTCAGGAATTTTGCTCACGCTCATTTGTGATTTTGGGATTACATTGATCCAGTTTTCTCAAATTGGTTTCAATTTAACAACAAAGTATCAATCAGAATTTGCTTCTGAAGTTCAAAAGGTTTCAAGGCCATTAGTTTTTTGAAGTTTGAAAGTTGAAATTTTTTTTTTTGAAAAAAAAGTCAGTATTTCAGACTCTTATATAGGTTGTGATGATTTCTTTTGGAAAAGTCTTAAAATTTGTTCAGGCTCAACTTTACTTTTGGCGGTTTGACTTTTGAGTTCTTTCCAAGGTAATTAATTTGCTCTCCTTTGTTAGAAGGAAGACAAACTCCACTATTAAACAACAAAAGTGTAAAGTTCATGAAAAACGAGATCGACTTTTAGATCGACTTTTAGTATCTGTTTTCATAGTTATGTTGCGTGTTATTATGGCTAAATGGGTAATGTTACGATGTAAAGTATGAAGAACAAATCTAGTCACAATAGATAGTTTGTTCACCTTGCCAAGTTTTATTGCATTATACCGTTAAAATGCTTTTTACTCATGTGGTCCGGAATATGATACTACATGGCTACTTTTCTTGTTTCCAACCTAAGTCGCATTTATTTGTGCTATGTTTGTTTGGTGGTTCTTTTGCAGCAGGCAGCATTGGCATTTTAATGCAAGTGCTTCGATATTTGACTAGTAATAAGTTAAAAAAGCTGACGCATTTTTAAATTCATCAATTAGACCAAAAAAGCAATTTGTCGCATACAACAGTACAATCATTAGACCAGCAAAGCTTGGGTTATAGTATGAATTACCTTTTTTTCCAACCTTAGTCGCAAATATTGTTGCGACGCAAATATTGTTGTGACAAAATGTGTTCATTTTGATCAATAACCAGCTATTAAGTACAGCCAATGCTAAGGATATTATTAACACAGACTATTATATTACTAATAGCATTTCAGCTCCAAGGTATCATGGATCTGTAGCGTAGAGGTAGGAAAGGAGACCCGCAGCAAATTAAGAGGCGGCAGGGTCAGATATTTTTGAACTTTTTCATATACTAGTTAAAATGCGTCCGCTCTATAAATTGAGGCATGTTACTTGGTAATTTTTTTTTCAAATTGACTGATACTGCTAATGCGTCATAATTGACTTGCGTCAATTAGCAATTATTTAGACTCATAATTGGCTTGCGTCACTTAAGAAATTTTGTAGACTCGAAGTTTTACTCATTCAGTTTTTCCCAGTAGCGTTATCGGTCTTATTTTTGCTTGTGCATGCGAAGTGCAACTTCGCCTCTGTGTAAAATCTCTGTTTCGGAAATTTTCCAACTCTGTATTTTGGCTTGATAGTTTTCAGTTTCTTACATGCAATGTGATTGCCTATGATTAGTATTTGGCTGAACTTTTGCTCAAGAAATGAGACTCGAAATCCGGAGGTTGGAATCCATTGCGTACCACAAATTTTGTTCTACAAGTTTTTTTCTCATTGAAACTCGATTAAAGTAATTCAGATTCTTGTATTGTTCGTGATATTTTTTTTTCAGGAATTTTGCTCACGCTCATTTGTGATTTTGGGATTACATTGATCCAGTTTTCTCAAATTGGTTTCAATTTAACAACAAAGTATCAATCAGAATTTGCTTCTGAAGTTCAAAAGGTTTCAAGGCCATTAGTTTTTTGAAGTTTGAAAGTTGAAATTTTTTTTTTTGAAAAAAAAGTCAGTATTTCAGACTCTTATATAGGTTGTGATGATTTCTTTTGGAAAAGTCTTAAAATTTGTTCAGGCTCAACTTTACTTTTGGCGGTTTGACTTTTGAGTTCTTTCCAAGGTAATTAATTTGCTCTCCTTTGTTAGAAGGAAGACAAACTCCACTATTAAACAACAAAAGTGTAAAGTTCATGAAAAACGAGATCGACTTTTAGTTTCGAAAAATGGAATTCAATTTTCTTGCGGAATAGTAAGTTTCTCTATTGATCCAGTTTTCTCTATTTGGCTTAACTCTAGCAAAAAAATGTCCATAATAAATAGTCTTAGAAATTCAAAGAGCTTAAAAACCATATATTTTTTCTTTGAAATCGAAAAGTTGATTATTTTCAAAAAAAAGTCAGTTTTTTTTGGTTTATTTGCGTTTATTGACTCTCCCAACTGTCTCCTGGCTAGGTTTTTACTTGATAGTGTGTCTCTTTAGTTGTGTTTGCAAAGTGGAGCTTTGCCTCTGTGTTCAAAACTGAATTTCAAAAGAAGAGGAAGTAGAAAAGGGCAATTAAATTTTAAATTTCTGCAAAAAGTATTGAACGGCTTTTTTTTCATTAGATCAACTGATTCTTTTTAAGATGATAAATTACCAAATAACAAAGTGAGGACACTTAATTAGCTAGTTTGGTAGTTTCATGAAAGTCCTAATGGAATTACTCTGAATACAAAATTGGAAATGTAGAACAAAAACGTCAATTTATTAGAGTCTCGAAAATAGAGTTTAGTTTTTCGAAGGCATTCAACGTACTGAAGACACCAGTATAGGGCGTTATGTGTTTTCTCATCGAAAATTCTTAAATCTTGTTCACCCTCAAATTTGATTTTTCGTGGTTTGACTTTTGATTTTTTTCAAGTTTACTTCATTTCCTTTGTTAAAAAGAAGGCAAGCACCACTATCGAACAGCAAAAGTGTTAGGTCATGAAAAACATGATCGATATCTAGTATCGAAAGTGGTTTTAATTTTCAGATTTCCTAGGGCAATAAAAAACATTGCCTATTGATCCAGTTTTCTCAAACTGAGTTAGTTTATCAATCATAATTTGTTCTTGACATTCAAAGAGCTTTAAAACCATATATTTTTTCTTTGAAATCGAAAAGTTGATTATTTTCAAAAAAAAAGTCAGTATTTTTTTGTTTTATTTGCGTTTATTGACTCTCCCAACTGTCTCCTGGCTAGGTTTTTACTTGATAGTGTGTCTGTTTAGTTGTGTTTGCAAAGTGGAGCTTTGCCTCTGTGTTCAAAACTGAATTTCAAAAGAAGAGGAAGTAGAAAAGGGCAATTAAATTTTAAATTTCTGCAAAAAGTATTGAACGGCTTTTTTTTTATTAGATCAACTGATTCTTTTTAAGATGATAAATTACCAAATAACAAAGTGAGGACACTTAATTAGCTAGTGTGGTAGTTTCATGAAAGTCCTAAAGGAATTACTCTGAATACAAAATTGGAAATGTAGAACAAAAACGTCAATTTATTAGAGTCTCGAAAATAGAGTTTAGTTTTTCGAAGGCATTCAACGTACTGAAGACACCAGTATAGGGCGTTATGTGTTTTGTCATCGAAAATTCTTAAATCTTGTTCACGCTCAAATTTGATTTTTCGTGGTTTGACTTTTGATTTTTTTCAAGTTTACTTCATTTCCTTTGTTAAAAAGAAGGCAAGCACCACTATCGAACAGCAAAAGTGTTTGGTCATGAAAAACATGATCGATATCTAGTATCGAAAGTGGTTTTAATTTTCAGATTTCCTAGGGCAATAAAAAACATTGCCTATTGATCCAGTTTTCTCAAACTGAGTTAGTTTATCAATCATAATTTGTTCTTGACATTCAAAGAGCTTTAAAGCCATATATTTCTTACTTGAAAAATCTAAAGTTTTAATTTTGAACTTCCAAAGTTTCCAAAAAGTAAGTTTTTCTGCATCCTTGCGTTCATTGGCTCTTTTCCAACTATCTGTTGGCTTTGTTTTAAAAGATAAATGTGGTCAAGAAGTTCCCTTAACTTGCAATGAGACTAGCTCATCAATCATAATTGGGTTATTATTGCTTTTCTTGGTCACTCTATTGTTTTTTATGACTCTCAGGACCAAACAAACGAAAGTTTGTGAAAATATAAATGTTCATTCAAATTATTTTCTGATTTTATCCTACGTTCAAATATTTTGTTTCTATGTGATTATCAAATTGATAAGAAAGGAGATCTCTTAGAATAGTCGTTCTGTAATATCAAACAACTTTTTTTTATCTGGACTATTGTCTCTGTTTAGCACGGTTTTGATGATTTCAGTTAGGAATGAAGTTTTAGCTGGCTCGTTTTTAACACAATTAATTGTTTTGATTTTCATCTGGAATGGTCGTGATGTGGAGTGAGAAGGCAAAATCCAACTTGTGCCGTAGTCTGGTTGTTTTTAATGTCACTTTAGCTGTTTCCCTTCTGGTATGTGAGTGGCTCATTTTCGAAGTGGCAATCATGTTCTGTGAAGTGCCTCATCTTCCATTAGAGGACAGTCAAACCAATCGTCAAGGTGAGAAATAAGACCTATATTTCATGCTATTTTAAAGATTTCAAATGTTTAAATTGCATCCAAAACGTTGCTTTTTTAAAATCCAAATCAACAGTGACATTTTCTGTCCTGACCATTTTGGCAGTTTCCTGCACCTAGAAATTACCATGTACGGTCTTATTTCTGTATATGGCTGCATGAAACGAAAAACTATTATACATGAAATGTGTGTTTTGTAATCGAATAATCTATGATTTCAAAAGGGCGTTTTTCGAAAGATAGACTTTGTGTTTTAATTAGGTATTGTAGCTGACGACGCCCAGTTGAAAGTGATGATGATAGCTGATCTTCATCTCATTGGCCAGTTATTGGGTAATTCGATAGACAGATTGAAACGTGAGAGCCAGATGCGAACAGCCTTCCACACTGCAGTGCGCCAGCTGGAACCGGATCTCATTTTTATCCTGGGAGATATTCTGGACGAAGGAAAATGGTCTTTCTTGCCTGAAGATTTCAGAAGGACAACTGGAAGATATAGGAAGTACTTCTCTCGTTATGTCAACTCTATGGCAACTAAAAAGAAAATAGACTTGCATGTGTTGACTGGGAATCATGACGTAGGGTTCCATTATGATGTCGATAATATAAAAGTGCATCGATTTGAAAAGAGTTTCAACGCAAGTAAAGTCAAGTTTGTATCAGAAAAAGGAGTCAACTTCTTGCTGCTTAACAGCGTGCTTATGCGAAATGATTCGTGTGCTCTGTGTTTGGAAACTCAGAAGCAGTTAAGAGAAGCGAAAGCCGTTCTAGATTGCATTCAAATCAGTTCTAAGAAGTCTATTTCAAAGAAATGTTCAGATTTGGTGAAAAAACACGAAGTTGAAGAGCTGATTCCCGATGTTAAACCAGATAAAATATCTCAGCCAATCATATTGCAGCATTTTCCTCTCTATCGTGCAAATGAATCAAGTTGTTTTTCGGCCGATTGGAACAGCTTGAACTTGAACATATCGAAGCCACTAGAACAAGATTGGGACGTACTTTCGAAACAAACTTCGAGAAATCTAGTCGACATGTTCAACCCACGGCTAGTGTTCAGTGGTCATTCGCATTACAACTGTGAAATATGGCACAGATATTTTGCTGATCAAAGGCGAAAAGTTCTGGAAGTAACTGTTAATTCATTCTCGTGGCGAAATAACGACAACCCTAAAATACTGCTGCTAACTATAGATCGAAATAGTTATACTTATTCTCTCTGTCACTTGCCTCGTGAAAGCGCCCAATTCGCTATATATTGTCTTCTTTGGGGCTACAGCTTAATTTACATTGTCAGAAAATGTAGGAATGCGAACGTTCATTATTTTCCACGATTGTGGAAAACCAAATCTGTTTGAATATTTATATTTGAAAAAAAAACTGATTGTTTTGAGTATCTGTACATAATGTTTAACTGGCTTCAAAGGGACCACTGAATTGTGTTAAATTTGAAGCTTTCTGATTTCTTTTAACTTTTGACTGCGGTTAGTTTTTAAGTGTAGGTTTTCAGATTTTCCTCAACAACTGTTACGTTACAAGTTGAAGCTTCTACGAGTTCATTAAAATGAAGTGTGACTTGGCATGACAGCGTTTTGTAAACAAAAAGAACCGTGATGAGCAGTAGCGTGCCGAGGGGGAGGGGGTATTGGACCGCCCCCTCAGTTCTGGTTGCCAAATTTTTTCAAAGGGTCCTCCTTTGGTATAATTTTATGACATCCATTTTTGGCTGACCAACCTCAAAATTTTTCTAAAAGAGCCTCGGTGCCAATATAACTAATTTTTTTGTCAAATTTTCGAAAAAGTGCCCAAAAACGCCGTTTTTTAATTTTTGCTTCGGCGCAGAAAATTTTTAAACAAAACAAGATCCTTATAGTATTTTCGGAGAGCTCCGAAAATCAAATCAGTCGAACTAAAAAAAAGGTCTGCAAATATTTTAAAACTTTTCAAACAACCGCCCCCTCACCCAGAAAAATTTCTGCGCACGCCACTGGCGATGAGAGTAGATTAAGAATATTTATTGACAAGGGAAAGGGACGACATGCGAGTTGTTCAGCTCTTCGCGGAGAACCGCTGTTGTGCCCCTGGTTAAGATCTACATGCTATTTTTTGGACTATTTTTCGGGGCAGGGTTGGCAAAATGTAAGTTAAAAACAAAAATAACAAACTAACTGTTATTTATCGAAAAAAAAACATGTTATTTTTGTTAAATTGTTAATTAAATTAACATATCAACAAGAGTTGAGTTTCTTGAACAGAAACGCCAACTTTCCGGCTTTTTCAACGCCGAGTCGAGCACGAAGCTTAGGGTTAGGTCCTAAGGAAGCTTATGGCGGAGGTCCATCCAAATTTCAAAAACATCCCCCAGATCCATCCAAATTTCAAAAACATCTCCGCGAGCCTCCTACTGTTGGGTATTTTCACTCCAGGTTTCAGTTGCTGAAGTAATTTCCCAAACTCCTTGTTCTCCAGTAAGAATTACTCATATTTCTAAGAAATAGCTAGCATCACTGTTAGAAACTATAAATAACACTAAGTTAAATTCAATGTTAAATAACATGCCAACCCTGTTTCGGGGCTGGGTAATATTGCCTCACCATCAAGCAACGAGCACGGATCATGGCGGGCCTCGAACGTCTGACCTTTCGATTGAGCGGCGGAGACGTAGCAACTTCACCGCTGCTCCCCTGGTAGATAATTGGGTATCGACATAGGCAAATTTTATCCAAAAAAATCGCATTAGGGAAAGTTTCTAAGAATTTTTTCGACTGGAGTTTGATATTACTTGAATTTCAATTGGCACTTGTTGATAAATTGTAATTCTAAACCCTCAATTCTCTTTTTTCTTTTCTTTAGTTCTCTGAAATGTATTTTCCTTTATACGAATTCTTTTAGATAATTGAAAAAATCTCTTGTCTTTACTTATTCTCTGTAGTAACTATGATAGCAATTGTAGCCAAAAATACCTTTATTCGAAGTTTGAGGGAAGTTTTTGTTGGCATTTGTGCTGCTTCGTGAATCATAATATTGGCGTTTATAAAGCACTTAACTGCCGACCTAACTTTTTCATCATAAAAGTTCCTGGAAATGAGAGCAACGCGAGAGCAAGTGACTTGTTTGAACTCAGACTTCTTCCATTTGGTTTTATTTAAAAAAAAAGGCATCAACTTTGGTCTCTACTTTGGCTATGTTTGTTTTTTGGTGTTTAGGAGAAGATCCTGAGCAAAGGTGCCGCTAGTCTGGACAAGCCTTTGAACTCGTTCCTCCAAGACGGCGAATTGGAACCGGAAGACAAAGTGCGTCTATTCGTGATATACCTTCTCACGCGGCAGTCGGGGGATGAACAGACAAATGGAGGTAAACTATCTACAGCCGAAATCGACTCGTACTGCGCCGAGCTGGAGGCATCGGGCTGCGACATTCGGCCGGTGAATTACATCCGAAAGTGGATGTCGATTAACTCCATGGGAAATGTGATGGCGGTAGGGCGTGCAGGGGCAAAACAGTCGTCGCTGTATACGGGAGGAGGTAATTTGGGCACGGCCAAGATGTTCTCAAATCTCTTGTCACAGGGATCTCAATTTGTAATGGAAGGCGTGAAGAATTTCGTACTCACGCAGAGGGTAAGTGATAAATTTCTTGTATGATAACTTTTTCGAAATCATTTCCGGTGCCTAAATTATCTTCCGCCATTTGTTGGCGAGTTAACTAGTTGAGAGTCGGTGAATATAGTTAGTCTATTATATAGGTGCTGATGATTTTTTTTTCGTTTTTTTAAGGACATTTGATCAGGCTAAAATGTACTTTATCGCGGTTTGAATTTTTTTTTTCAAATTTAGTTCATTTCATTTGTTAAAAGGAAGCCAAACTCCACTTTCGAACAGCAAAAGGTTGAAGGTCACGAAGAACAGCAAAAAATGTACCCCTTGAACCATTTTTCTTTAACTGGTTGAATTAAATCATTAAGTGTTCAAAAAACCGCTCACAATTTTTTTTCAGTTTTCTTGCGTTCGTTTCTGGTTCCGACTGTAAGTTGACCGTTTTTCACTGTCATGCATCCACATGAAACTTATTTGTCAATTCTATGTATGAAGACCAAAAGTGGTTGATGTAAATGTTGATAAAAAAGTTTTTACAAACAAAATAAGCCGGTTGTTGGGAAAGTAGCACAGAATGTTCCTACCACGGTAATTTTTGGAAGAAAAGTGGTGAACCTTGAGTTTCATATTGAAAAAAGAAGTTTTTTTTTCAAATAAGACCATTATCTCGGATTTTGAATTGGATTGAAGTTAAGCTACAGAAAGCGCTAAAACTGTTAAAACCGTTCCTAAAAAGTTAAGGGGATAAGGAAGTGTAAATCAGAAGTTCAGTCTAAAAAAGAAATATATGCTGACATTTTTCCTACACTCGACTGATTTGTTTAAGATGTAATGATAGTAGATTAAGATTTAAGACTCTTCTATAGGTCGTGATGTTTCAATTTTGAAGTTTTTTGACGAAAACTCTTAAATTTTGTTCATGCTCAAGTTCGATTTATCGCGGTCTGACTTTTGATTTCTTCAAGGTTCAATAATTTAGATTATATTGCAAAAAAGAAGTAAAAGTATGCTCTACAATTACCAAACTGGAGTTCAAAGTTATTTTCTGCTTTGTTACCGCTTGGTAAACTTTCTTACGATTCTAATTTTGCGTTATTTTGTCTTGACTTATTTTGTTTCAAAACTAGCCTGATTCAAATTGATATCTATTTTTTTTCGACATTTTCGTTTTTTTCCTTTCTTCTTTTGTTATCCAAGTGGTGAGATTCTCAGCTTCGCCTGTGTAGTAGAATACGTCTCTCAACTTGGATTTCTTGACCTATAGTTCCTTGACACTCTGAATTTGCATGTTTAGCCTCCAAATATGACTGCTGAAAGCGTTTGGTCTTTCGAGTTATGACGGTTTTTATGATTGATGATAGTGATATAAAAACACTAATTTTTGATATCCACAGCCCTAATGTGGAATGCTGTTATGGTACACACAGAGGTTGCAAATCTGCTCTCTTCCAAATATCACTGCAAAAAAAAATATTTAACATCCGAGATTTGATGTTTTAATGATATTTTCTAAAAAGTTTCTGAAAAAAGTTATAAAAAAGGTTTTCAGAGTTTGCTAAGTTCAATCCTGTTTTATGGTGCTGTCAACTCAATCCTGAGTTTGCCTAGGGGCAACAAGTTTGTCATTATTTTCAACTTCTCAACAAACTTGAATTATTTTTTGAAATTTTCAGTAAAATAAAGATTTTTTTTTATTTCAAGTTGAAATAAAGGCAGTTTTTCATTTTACGCTGATCACTATAGTGCTAAACTTATATTATAACTAAAGCGCATGTTCTAGCTATATAAAATAAGAACAAATTATGAGTGAAATTAGTTACATCCAAGAGTCCTAATCTTTGTGGTTCTTGATCTGGATATCCAAGTTCGAGCTACGTAGTCTACAAATTTTGAGGTGATTGGGTGTCAATGAACGGATTAAAATCTTGTATTTAGGCCGTGTGGTTATTTTTTCCAGGTTAAGCTCTTTAAGCTTGCGACAAACAAGGGTATTGCAACCGGGGACTAAACTTGTTTTCCCCTAATAAAACATTGTTCACAGAATCGTCAAATGGTAAATTATATAACCGCTGAATCAATAGCATAGTTCAAGTGTATAAACTGCACATTTACCTTGGGTAAACGTTAAAAGTTGAACAGTAATTTTAATCTGTACTAAAAAAATTTTGTAGATTTTTGGCACTGGTCGATCAGCTCTATTTCTGTCAGCTTAATTTCATTATTACACAATCAAAGCTTGTGTGATGCTATGAACTCTCTTTTTTTCAACCTAAGTCGCAAATATTAGTGTTCATTTTGAAAGTGTTCATTTTGATCAATAACCAGCTATAAAGTATAGCCAATGCTTAGGATTCTAATACAGACTATTATATTACAAATAGCACTTTAGCTCTAAGGTATCATGGATCTGTAGCTTAGAGGTAGGGAAGGAGACCCGCAACAAAATAAGAGGGTTCGAACCTGGGCAGGGTCGAATATTTTTGAACTTTTTAGTATAATATTTATAATGCGTCCGCTCTATAAATTGAGGCGTGTTAGTTAGTGTTTTCAAATTGACTGGTACTGCTAATGCGCCATAACTGGCTTGCATCACTTAACAATTATGTAGATTCATAATTGGCTTGCGTCACTTAAGAAATTTTGTAGACTCGAAGTTTTACTCATTCAGTTTTTCCCAGTAGCGTTATTGGTCATATTTTGCTTGTGTATGCGATGTTCAACTTCGCCTCTGTGTTAACCTTTGTTAATATGGTTGCGGCCCGCTGTAGTTGTTACGCTTTGGAATACCAAGCGTTAGCAAATCGGAATGTAGGTTTCTTTCACATTAATTAGTTTGACAATATAATTTAACCCTTTGCTCACTTATTTCAGTAGTATATAGAGATGCCTGTTTGGCCTGCTAAGCTTCGAGGTAAGGTCTTTGCTTGAGACAACAAATGTAATGGGATCGATACTGGCCAGGAGCTGGTTTTTAATAAAATGTTTTTTTTTTCGGCGCGTCGTGTGTTTGCTCAAGAATTGTCGACTTTGTTACCGCTTTGTCGGTTTGCTCCGTTGGTTATTTAACCAGCATTTTAAAAAAATTCAAGGCAAAATCAAGATAATTGAAGAAAAGTTTCTTTAGATTAACTTTTGATCTTTTTGCAAAAAATTTTTTGCTGCCTTTATCTCTACTTCAGTCGATCAACTCAATTTCAGTCGATTAGTTGGTCATGCTATGTGTATGTGTTAAATCGCAATTAGTGCGAAGAATTATTTCGTTTTTGCTTCAAAAGTTTCTAAAGGTGCGGGTAATTCAGATCCAAGATATTGCTTTTTTGGGATTTTTATAAGTTTTTGTTTTGTTTATAGATTTGTAGGTTCATCTGTAAGTAGTGATAGTCGTTCACTTTCATATCGCAAGTGGTGCGAAGCTGTGCTTTGCCTCTGTCTAAAAATTTTATTTTTGCGGATTGACTTTTAATTACTTAAGTTCTCAAATTCATTTGATAAAGGGAAATCAATTACATTCAACTATCTCGCAAGTATAAAACACGCGGAAAAATGCGAAAATTTAGGTTTCGAAGGTGGATTTTGGTTTTCAAAATTTGCAGTGGAATAAAGATTCTCTTAAAACTGTTTCTCTCTAGTTTTCTCTGATTTGTGTGATATATAAGGGGAGCAGTGGTGAAGTGGTTACGTCTCCGCCTCTCAATTGAAAGGTCGGATGTTCGAGGCCCACCATGATCCGTGCTCGTTGCTTGAGGGTGAGGCGACATTACCCAGCCCAGAAAAATAACCAAAAAATGACATGTAGTTCTTAAGCAGAGGCACAACAGCTGTTCGCGGTGATGAGCTGTACAGCTCGTATGTTGGTCATATCCCTCGTGGATAAATGATCTTAAATATGTTTTTCTCCGATTTCATTACGCTTGCGATTATTGAAACTACTATTCTCTCTTGGCTATGTTTTAAAGTTGATTTTTTACGAGGGTAATTTTCGCTAATTTGCGAAGTGATGCTCCGCGTCTGTTTGTGATAACACACTTGATAACACTCATTTTTTTGAGATACTCTAGGTCACATATTCTTACCACTATGTGAGTGGTCAGAACAAATTGGATGTAATCAAAAAATTAGGAAACGTTGCGGGTTGGAAAACGGAATGGTTTCAAGAACTAATTGATTGGCGGAGGATATGAGAGGAATTTTTTTCTTTGAAATTCGAAAATTGAGATTTTTTTCAACAAAATCAGTGTTTTTTTTCTGTTTACTTGGGTTCATTACTCTTTTCCAACTTCAGTTGGCTATGTTTTTTTCCACGCTAATCAGGTACCACAAACAATCATCGGAATGAGTAGAGTGATATATCATATTAAAGCTCTTTCAGTCGTGATAAGAACGACATTAAAAAATTTCCAAAAATTTTAATTTTTCACAGTGTCGAGAAAAACAGTATTGAAAATTTTGATTTTTCGTCGAATTTCGAGTGAGTATGCTTAATTGTGCTTCATTAAGAAAGTTTACAATAACTTTTTATGCCTAATTTTGGTTTCATACGAGTAAAATTAGTCTTTGGAGGGTTTTTAACGCCTTTTTGATAATAAAAATCTTCGATAACAATCTGCAAAAAAAATTGAAACTTATTTGGATTTTAAATTTTTTTTTGTTTTTTTTTTGTTTTTCTAGTCATTGTGTATTAAATTGCTATATGCACATTTCAGAAACTACCCGTGAGTCGAGTAGTGCAAAATTTGATGGAAAACAAGAGCGGTCTGAACACTGAAGTTGATGAATACGAGTATCTGGATCCAAAAGTGGCCCCTAGATCATCAGTCGGGGGAGAGGGGGGTGCGGCTGGAGACATACCCAGGACGAAGAATGCATTCAATGAGGCTATTGTGTTCATGGTGGGAGGCGGAAACTATATTGAGTATCAGAATTTAGTGGACCTATTCAATAACGTAAGTGAAGCTAAGTATGTGTGCCGTTATTTAGCAGTCATTATGTGTGAAAAGTTTGAAGCACATCAAACTATTTTAGTTTTTTGAGATGGACAATTTTATGACGATTGAATTTATTCCCGTGCTTGTTGACGTTTGTGATGATGTTTCAGGGTAAAAGTGGAAAGAAGGTTTTGTATGGGTGTACTGAGCTGTCCAACGGAAGGGATTTCCTTAAGCAGGTTAGACATCCTACATCTAGTTGACTTGGTATAATTTTTGTGCCGCTGATTCATAACTTGCCCATTCTTTTTCTTGTAGTCATCATTTTTTTTTCTTTGTTAAAGTAATTCTAAAAGAGCTATTTTGTTTTGTAAAGAGCATCTTCGCTTCCATATTGAAAACATTTCAGCTTATAAGTGTTTTATTTTTTTTTGTGGGTGTGAAGTCAAACATTGTTTTGACAAACTAGGTATGCTTTTAACATAACATTGCGAGCAGCAACAGTCACTTGATGTGGCGAGCCAACTTTTTTGCCAACCCAACTCCAAAATGAACGTTCTCATTTTGGTGACATTTGGTTGCATAGTAAGATAGCAGTTTAATTGCATAAAGTATCAAATTCATGAGTCACTTGGTTTTGTTGATTAATGTAAGCGTTAGTGTCACAGTTTTGTGGGACAGTCGACTTGGATGTCCGAGGACTGAGTTTCGATTCCCGTGGAGGTCATATTTTTTTAAAGTTCATTTCCTTTTTATTTTCTTGTTTTTTCTTTATTAACTCTTTGTGATTTTTACAGCTAGCTTTTGCTTTTTCTCGGTTGTGTTTGCTTCGCCTCTGTTATTTATTCATTTTGCTATGAAAAGTTAAGTGCATCAAAGTATTTAACAATGTTCCTGATAAGCATCTACTTCATCTCTCCACACTTCCCAGAAACACCGACACAAATAGGAACAAAAGCAACTGGCAACTCAATTTTTAATCAATTAAGATGGTGGCAGTATTTTTGAAGATTCATTCGATACCTCACTCGGCATCTTATAGTAACATAAGGAACTGGGTCTTCGGAATTTGTCTTGGACGCTTTACGTGGATCAAGATTTTTCAGCCTATCGACATTGTTTTTTTTCTGCATCTTTAGACCTCTTTAGCTAGCAGCGCAAAAGATAACTGAAAGGATAATACAGTCCTGATTTAAATTATCCGGACGAGATGCACAAAACTTGAAATATAGAACGAATTTTCCTCAAATTGTTTGATTTATACAAAAATCTTGAAGACAGTACTTGCTTAGAATTTCAACAGAATTTTTTATGGTGCAATTTTTTTTTCTCGAAATTTGGGCCCTGAATGTTACCCCATAAAAGGATTGTTTTTGGCTTTTTTAGTCAATGCAAAATTAAGCCGTAACTACTGGGTCAATTACTGACAAGATAATGTCAAAATGAGCCTTTTATAGAGCCTAACAAACCTTAAGAAGAGTATAATGTCCCAGAAAACGAATAATTTAATTTATTTTTGTTTCATAGATAAATATGACATTTTTAGTATAAAATACCAGGTAGTATTTGAAACTAATTTTTACACAAGCGAAGCGTAGTGTATTACGAAGAATTTTTCGACCTAAGTCGCAACTAAAATGCTCATTTAGTGGCAGTTTTGGTATATTTCAATTTAATTATGTTGCAGCCTATTAATCCTATGAAGTTTAATCGATTTTGTTGTTGCTTTTTTGGCTAGTGCTAGGTCTTGTTTGAAGAGAAGAAAATGCTTGGAATTAGTTGTTTTTTTGCGAAGCTTTTCGAAAGTTTTTCCATTTTTTGCAGAAATTTCATTTTTTCTCAACTACTGTATGGTTTTTCAAAAAAAATGGTGCCAGTGTACAAACCTACTGATCTTCTATGTGCCTGCATAATTAGCTAGTCTCTCTTCATTCTACAGTACGTTCTACGGCCTTCGAAAGTTTCAGAAGAGGGATTTGTGACTGACCTTTTTTATTTGAATTTTTTCATTTTCTGAGATAAAGGTTTCTGAGATTCAAATCTGAGATTAAGGTTTCAATTAAAAGAACAAATCATGGGGATCTCCTTTTTTAAGCGGTTATTCCTCAATTTTGGTAGAAAAAAGGTTTTGGACTCAAACAAGCCAATTTTTCGACAAAAACTACTCGGATTTTAAGAGTTTTACCGAAGAAACAAATCAGTTGTATGAATCTTCCCTGCGCAAGCGGCCATGCTCTGCGTTCTGAAAAAATATGGCGTTTGAAAATGTTCAATTTTTGAAATTTTGCCCAATTTTTTGGAAACTTTTTCTCTCAAAATTTAACCTGCTGATTTCGATGTTGATATTTCATTCAAACGAAGATGGTGCTTAGATGTTCCCTGTTTAATCTGTTTTAAATTTTTTTCTTAAGAACAGACTATATGGACTTCAGGAAAATCCAATTTTTGAAATTTTTACAGTTTTTTTCATCACAATCTCAAAATTACTACTTGAATTTGATATTAAGAGTTCAATCTAACAATCGGGGCGTGGAAATCTTCCCTGCATAAGAAGTTGCTCCCGTGCTTAAGTACAGAAAAGTTAATGGGTTTAGGAAAAGTGAAGTTTTTGGTTTCGAAAACTACCCAGCCAAATCTGAAACAAAGAATTCAAATGAAAGAGCGATCAGCAGTTTTCTCCGTTGAATAACCAAATAATGTCCTAATTAAGCAAAGAAGTTACTAGGCTTTTGCGTAAAGTTCATTTTTTTAAATATTGAAAATTACGCATTTTCGTATCAGTACAATATATGATTAAAGATTTTGTTTTCCTCGCTTGTGTTTGCGAAGCGCAGCTTCGCCTCTGTGTAAAATGTTTTTGCTCAAATTTAAGAAGCACAGTTTGATATAATTTTGTCAGTAATTGACCCGAAGTTTCCGCGTTGTTTTGGATTGACTAAAAGAGCTGAAAATGATCCTTTTTTGGGGTAAAATTTTGAGCTCGGACTTCGAAAAGAAAGTTTCACCTTATTATTTCTGCTAAATTTCTAAGCAATTTTTGTCTTCGTATTTTTTGTCTAAAATCCAACCCAATTTGATAAAAACGCGTTTAAAATTTTAACTTTTATGTCTATTATCCGGATAATTACACTTGCGAGCTTGCGAACGATAGTGTTTTAGCCCGAACCTTTTGTTTCTTGTAGCCTTACTCGCAAATAAAAGAGTCAATCAAAAGTTCTTTTATTTGGTGGCACTTATGCTATAATTACGATATCTAGTATTTGAAATTTCATAGCATCTGCTCTCTGCTTTATTTGTGGCTAGTGTTTGTAATTTATTAGTCCTCCGTGGCTAAGTGTTTAGTGCAGGAGACTCGTAATATCTAAGTCGCAGATCGAATCCGAGACGTAGGCGAATTCTTGAAAACTCCTTATTGAAAACTCTAATTCAGTAATATTTTTAAATGTAATCTTCATTCTTTTTTTACACTTGCGAGAGCAAGTGTCTTGTAATCGGGAACTAGACTTTTTTCCCGTAAAGAACTATTCTTACACATTTTCAACTTGCTTTATTGTTGAAACTTACCAATTTGCAGTTTCTTTCCAGTTGGCGTGAAGGTAACGCCGTCGATTTTCCACCCAACGGCCTAGAGTTCGAGCCCCGACTGGACCGTGGTTTTTTCAGCATATTGTATCCAATTGAAAACTGTTTTCAGTTTAAGTTGAATTGTCTCACTTTTGTTTTTCTGCTAAAGTTGTGTCGACTTAGTTGTCACGTAACGGATTATGTTTGTATTTGCAAGTGTTGTTTTTTGAAGTTTCAGGAGACTGCTTTTTTTTAAAAAAAATTTGGCTGATTTTGTATCTGCTCAAAGATTGTCGACTTTCTTTCCTCTTCGTAATTTTTGTTCCGTTGCTAATATTACAATCAAATGGCTTGTTTGCCTAGAATTACTGTTTGATAAAAACAGGTTTTATCAAGATGTATGGAGTTAGGGTTTAATTTTTTTAGACGCTTCGAAAATTTTTACTTTTTGCAAATAATTTAGTTTTTTTCTCAAAAATGACTCTTCATGTTTTCAAAAAGGGGTCTCAATGAACAGAGCGCCTAATCCCCTGTGTGGTTTCATAATCCCCCAGTCTTTTTTAACTTTATATTAGTCTACAGCCTTCGAAAAAGTCTGTGGGGGGAATATTTGACTCATACTTTTGGATTATTTTTTCGTTTTCTCAATAGTGACCCTCACAATTTTGAGATTTTGGGGTGAATGGATGTAACGGGCTGTGAGAAGCTCTCCTGATTAATCCTACGCTCAAAATTTCTCACTCAAACCGTTATTCCCCTCGGAAAAACCAGTATTTGTTTTTTTTACAGTTTTTTGAAACTATTGACTTTTCTGGAAAAGTATCATTCTATTCTTGTTTTTGGGTTCAGTCGAATTAACAGATCGTGTGAAGCGCTTCTGTATACGCGGCTACGTCGAATTTTTTTAACATAAAAAGCTCTGATTATCGGAAAACTCATATATTTTTTTTGTTGATCGTTGTTTGGAAACTTTTCTCAATAACGATCCTGTCAAAACTGATATCAAGGGTTAAATCGATACAACAGGTTGTTGAAAGCATACCTGCATAAATGGCTACGTCCAATTTTTGGTAGACTTTCTGAAATTTTGACCATTTTTGGAAATTTTTGTCGAAAACTACCCTGTCAAATCTTAGGTTTAATGTTCAATCTGAGATGAAGGGTTCAATCGAAAAAACCGGTGGCGATCACTTAATTTTTCCCAAGAAAAATGTTGTCCGTGGGAAAATTCTCGTTCTTCTTGCTTATTTTAGAGAAACTACCAAGATTTCGGGCAATGTCCACCTTTTGAAATTTTCCATTGCATGCCGCATCATTATAACGAATTCGAATAATATCAAACAGGTAGCTTTAGCTAGGCTCCTTGTTTTTTTTATCAAGACATACGAAAGTTTTGATTTACCTCAATTTTTCCAGCATTTTTCATTTTAAAAAATTCTGTTGTATCGCAAGTGTTGCGATGCACCGCTTCTCCTCTCTGTCTTAAAAAGTTATGGTTTAGTGCTGAAATGATGCCTTTTCGTGAGAAACTAGTCATCTTATAGTCTGATAAAGAGTTTTTTATAGTCTGATAAAGAGTAATGAACGTAGTGAAGACTCTTATATAGGTCTTGCTGATTTTTTTAAAAGTATTTAAATATTGATGCACTTAGGTATAAGGCAGTTTTTGAGTTCAATTGAAATTCATCTGCTGAAAGTGACGTAAATAGCAAACTCTCAAAATACGAACGTGGAAATGGCGCAAAAAAAACGTGAAAGATTTCTAGTTTCAAAAGTGGAATCTATTATATATTTAAATGAGGGCTTCACTATCTCGCCATGTTTAAGCTTTTTCAACGTATTATTTTCACATGTTTAAGCTATATCGTATATTGCAATGGTTAAGAATTTTTTTTCGATTTTCCAATTTGATTTTAGTGGTTACTTTACCGAGTTCAAATTAAGCAGCCCTATATCGAATTAGGGGTTGCGAATTTGACCTCCAATTTTGAATGCCCGAATCATTTTCATTTTAGCTAACGAGATAAGACGAGTTTTGAGATTTTTTCAAACATTTTCTGAAATTTCAAATAACAAAATAATTTAAAAAACTTGAAATTCCCAACCCTGTAGTTGGGTCCTGTCAGAGTAATCTCAAAGATAACGAATCTTGCCTCCAAGTATGACTGCTCAAATCTTAGTAGTTTTCGAGATATGACGTTTTTTGTTATTTTTTCAAAAATTTTCAGAAAACTTAAATTATTATTGTTCTTTAAACATCTGAAATTCCCAACCCTGTAGTTAGGTCCTGTCAGAGTACTCTCAAGAATTGCCAATCTTGCCTCCAAATATGACTGCCCAATTCTTTGTAGTTTTCGAGATTTGACGTTTTTTGTGATTTTTTTAAAATTTCTCAAAGAACTTATCTACAAAGAAATTCAAAAAATTTGAAACTACCAACTTGATGAAGATACAACCTTATTGTCAGCGTACACCCAGGCGTCTCAAATCTTGCCTCTTAATATGAATGCTCAAATCCTTTTAGTTTCCGAGATAAGACGTTTTTTTTCAGTTTTTTTTTCGGGAAACTTAGGTTTAAAAAAAGTTCACAAAATTTTTGATTCCTAACCCTATAGTAGGGTGCTCTCAGGGACTCTCAGTGGTTGCAAATCTGGCGTCCAAATTTCTCTAGAGGCCCATTAAGTTTTCGAGATGAGGCTTTTAAGTGGGAATTAAAAAAAATTTAAAGTTTGTAATTGGGTGCAGTCAGAGAACACTAAAAGTTTGCAGATGTTGTTTCCAATATATGCGGTTTTTCATGAGTTGTCGAAAAATTTCGAAGCACCGAAGGTGCGTTAAACGCTAGTTTAATTTTAATTTTCCCCAGTGGAATAAAAACTACCTATTGATCCAGTTCTCTCAAGTTGGGTTCATGTTATAAAAAAAAGCGCCAATCATAAATTGTTCTAGAAATTCAAAGAGCTTAAAGGGCATCTATTTTTTTCTTTGAAATTCGAAAGTTGAGATTTTTTTAACGAAAGTCGGTGTTTTTTTTGTGTTTACTTGCTTTCATTAACCCTTTTCGAGTCTTCGATTGGCTATGTTTTCGTTTTCTGGAAATAAAATAATTCTGATGAAATCCTTAAACAATTTCATATTGAGCGAATGAGTCTAGTGGAGTGTCTAGTTTTGAACCTTTCTTCATGAACGAAACTTCTGGCGTAACTCAATGATTTAGATTTTAGTGTTTGAAAAAGTGAAACCTAGATAACTTTTTTACGCTGCGAAGCCCTATTTACTTGCGTTTGAAGGTAACAAAATTAATTCGCTGAATGAAAACATAAAAATTAAATCAAGTTAGTAGTTTTATACGGCTATTCTAATGTGAAGCTCAAGTTCTCAAAGTATTTCCATTTTTCTGTTTCAGCTCTGCTTGCTCGGGTCCGATTGAATTGAAGCGCAATTTTCTGTTAATGAGGGACCCCTCTTTAACTCAATGTTGAACTTGCGAAGCGATACCGATATGCTTCAAGATTTAACTATTTTGGACTGGTTTGTTTAATCTAATCACTGGTGTACGAAATGTTTTATGTAAATATATATCAATCTCAATTTACGATCAAGTAAGACGCTCGATTCCACTTTTTCAAATGAAATTTTCCTCTATGTTTTTGCAAAGTTGGCTTCGCATAGAAAAATTTGGTTTAGTCATTTTAATTTATAACGCGCAATTTCACTCAAGAATCAAATTGAAATTGTATCAAAATTGAGTGAAATGCATCCGAGCTTAAAAAAACAGAATTGAATGAAGACTTTAATGTGCCGCAACTTGAGAGTTGAAAAAATAACTTGTTGTTATAATTGTTTAATAATTGTTTCCCGAAATAAAATAGGCGTAAAAATGAACCAGGATATCCGGTTTATGTGCAAGTTGCACAGAATGTTCCGGGCACATTCATTAAAAAAGCTGTGTTTCTATGCATGGTGTGAGGGAAGAACTATTCGAACGCGTAGAACGTTAGTGAATTAGACATGATCGGCAAAGCTGTCTTCGAAAAATTTCCCTGAAGTTAATGTTTTGATTTTTTTTTAAATTTATTGCCAAGAATTCATTAAATGACGCTTCCAAAAGTACTTTTAGTCTTTATAAGGCCTACTCGCTCGCTTTTCTTGCTAGAAGTTGGACTAAAACTCATAAATTTCGAACAATTTTTCTCAACATGGGGACAACTTTTTGTATCTTTTTAAGGTAGTTTGAATCACGACTAATAAGATATATCACTCGACGCACTCAGATGATTGTGTAGTACCTGATTGAAGAAAAAACTAAAATACACCCAAAGACAAAGCTCCTCCTACATGCAGTAGTAGGAACAACAAAGCTGCCCATGACTTGCTGCACAAAAGTATATACCATTGTTCAGAAAAAAACAAGTTGTTGAAAAAATATCATAATTTTAGGAAAACCTATAAGATTTTTAAGATAATCTAATCGTATTAAAACTCAAGACCATTTTTGTTCTAAGCATAGACGAATACGTAGTAACTGGAATTTGATATGCTGATAAAGTAAGCAGGTGTCCACCAGGCAGAACAGTCCTCTGAAAATTTGGTTATACGAAAAAAATATCGGTAATTGCAAGGGAAAAATTTAAAGACGTTTTCGTGAACAATATAGTTAAATTAATTCATGGTGTAATTCAGGCGCGGATCCAGGAATTTCTCGAGGGGGGGGGGGGCGGATTTTCAAAAAAGAGAAATTTTTCGACTTTTTATAGGTCGACCAATTTGATTTTCTGCGCTCTCCTAAATCACTCTAAAGTTGACCAAATCACTCTAAAGATTGACCAAATTTTGTGCGCCGCAGGCAACTTTTTCAAAAAAAAAAACAGGCCAAAAAAAAACACTTTTGGGCACTTTAAAAATGTCGACCAAAAAATTGCGTTTTCTCGGCGAGCGCTCCCCCCTGAAAGTTAGTATATATTGGCGCCTTGAGAAAAATTTGAAGGTCAGTTATCCAAAAGTGGATATTTCAAAAAAGTTCAAAGGGCGACCCTTTTTGGGTCGGCAGGGGGTCTAATCCCTGACGGGGAGCGTCCGCCCCCCCCCCCCCCCAAATCCGCTACTGGTGTCATTTTTGACCCAGGTAGACTTTACAATAATAATAATCCTTTAATAGTATGATCTTTATAAAAAATGATCCTTGAATTTGAAATTAAAACCATTACTCCAGTTTAAATTGAGTAGAAAGCTATTAAAACAAAAAAATATCAACTCAATTTCCTGTAAAAAAAGAAGGACCCAAACCAGAGGCGGATTTAAGGGGAGGGGGGCGGACGCTCCCCCCCCCCCCCCCCCCCCTCAAGGACTTGACCCTCTGCCCACCCAAAGGGTCCCACTTTTGGTACTTGTTAAGAAATCCAGTTTTCTGGTTAACCCTAAAATTTTTCTGAACTCGCGTTGGGCGCCAATATATTCTGATTATGAGGGGGAACGCGCGCCGAAAAAACGCGTTTTTTTGGTCAAGATTTTTCAAAAAGTGCCTAATAATGCTTTTTTTGGACTTTTTTCAAAATTTTGCCTGCCGCGGAGAACGTTTGGCCAAAACAGGGACTAAACCGCGCTAAAAGAGAGCTCAAAAAATCAATTAATAAACCCAGCTAATCGGTCTTAAAAATAATTAAAAAAGATGAAGAAAAAACCAATAGGTAAAAAGCCGAAAAATTTAATTGAAGCCGTGACCCAATACAATGATACAATGAAAGCCAACCGAAAATATTCGGCAAAACAAATCTGTTCAAAAATGCATCTACCACCTGATGCACGAACGCTATTCTGGTAGTTTATGCAAGGTTTATACACTCGGAAGCTAAACCGACAAAGCTTGCGAAAAATATTCTAAAAATCTTCAGCATAAACATGATCGAAAGCCTATAACTAATTATACAATGGTTAGAATATAACGTTTTCCAGTAGTAAAGAGTATAAGTAGGCAGCAGTTATATTAGTTAGTTAAAATTCCGCAAAATTCAGCTCGTCAGCAACAAAGCAGCTCAAATGATTCAAGTTATTTTGTCCGCAAGTTTTTGATTTAAAAAAGTCCTATTTGACGCTTATCATTTCCATAGAAAAAGAATGAAAAAACATATTAGGTATTTCCGCAGTAAAGATAGAAATTGGACAGATTTCAGAAAAGAGGGACTGCAAAAATTAAATGTTAGTTGCTTTTTCATAGTTTACCCTCCTAAAAATTCATTTTGTAAATAATACTTATTGGCTAAATGTTTCTAAACAATATTTCAACACATCACTACACTAAACGTAACGTATTCCATTACAAATTGATGAAGTTCGTGAATATCATCCAAATACAGCGCTGAATCTACTTATCCTAAAAAATTGCTTATGCCTCGGACTCAAGCGAAAAGTAAATAGGAAAAGTACGAGTTTGTTTCCGGCTTATTGCAAAGTCTATTAGGTTGTTTTTCACAAATTATGCTTCGAAATGACATTTTTTTTGTTCCGTTTTACCTACGCAATACTTTTTGAGTTTATAGAGCAATTTAAATAAATAGAGATTAGTATAAATCAGGGAGACAAGTATTTCTTTTGTAGATGACGAATTGCAACTTTTATGAAATAGGATGTCACTCCAAACTTTTTTTTTGATTTACTGTCGCTTTCTTCTCTATTGACTTGGAAAGCTCAGGAAATTTAAAGAAACCCAGCTGGCTAACATCTACTATTAATTATCATGTTCAAACACATGAACATTAACGCTTATTCAAATTTTCATGGGGAGCATATGGGTTGTTTGTGTCTATAAGACGTTAGCATTAATGATAAGTGAAGCAATATTTGAAAAACATCTGAAACTGGAATATCATAATTAGTACTGGAATATGTGAAAACTTGTGATGAGACATCAATAAAACCTTTTAAAAAAGCTGGCAAGATTCCTGTTCTAGGCGAGAAGCAAAAGCTTGACACTCGGATTTTTGTTCGAAATCAAACAATACCAAGAACTCACCAACTGATTTTGGTTATGCTTAGCTCAAAACAATAAAGGAGAATGCATACGGAGACATCCCGAATCCAAGCTCCTATGTATTAAGGTTGTCAATAGGTTTCCATATATGAAGATTGGTTATTGATTCTCTAAGTATTAAGATTGGTTAAAATTTGTCAGTGCTAATTTGTCGATCGGCTAATTAAATATTGCTCGGCCATATTTAATCTACAAAGAACAAAGAGGCGAGTAACGGGGCTCAGCAATTCATTCTTGAAGGAATATAGATGTGTTTGTTCATTAGCCGATCGGGTTGAATCAGACACAGAGCTGCAAACAAGTTTGAAGTAAAACAAGACAATTACACCAGAACACGAAGGAGTCAACTGATTCGCCTCCATCGACTTGTAGAGAAGTTTCCTCTGCTTAAAAAAATAGATACTGGCTTCAAACCCTCGGGGATACTCAACAAACTGTCGATCATTAAAGCAGTTTGCGAAACCACCACAGAGTTGTGGGCAGACGGCGCCACTTTAGTCGATAGCAGCTGTGACGAGGAAAGCAACAGTAGCAAAGATGACGAGCAATGAAATCAGTTATAGAACAACAGCTATATTTAAAAGATTTTATCGCACCACTTTTTTTCTTCCAATTAGATAAAAAATTACTAGTGACAAACTGTATTATATCGTCTTGTGAAACAAAGTTAATTGAAGTAGTTTTTCCATAGGTTTTTTCATAAATACAATGAGCCATAAACAAACAACAAAATCCACAAAATGAGCTAGTCTGTTTTTGAGTGAAGGGAGAAAACATTTGTTTTATTTGGCATCGGGTTCGTATAGCAGCTCTATTGTAGATTGAGGGAAACCACAATTGAGATGGTCTGTTTAAAAATATAGAATTGTTTGCCGATGAGAGTCAGTAATTGAAACTAACAAATCCAATAAGTTGGGTGTTGATAATAGCGAAACGATTTTTGGAAGTTTTTGGAAACATATCCGAAGGTAAACATCTAGAAACCTGAATGTTAGTTGAGGACGTAATTAACACAGTTTTCCCATTTCACACTGTAGATTTTTTTATGATCCTGCCGTTGCGATCAATTAAAACGACTGATCGACGTTCGCCGAGTAGAATCAAGCGAATGGATTTATCAGTAATTTTTTCAATTTTCAATTCAACAACCAACCGGGCACCAGTAAGTTCCGGAAGAATACTGCTACCATCCCAGTGCAAATCGCTCGTAAGAGAGAACACCGGGTTAAAATGGTTGCGGAATTTAGACGGATTGATTATGTAACCGCTGTGATCGAATTCGAGTGATCTCATTGTTGTCTAATAAATTTTTGTTTGACTTTTTCCTATATCGATAGGCTTTCCTCCTACAGAATTTTTCCCGCAAATTAATCGAATTTTCGACAAGTCAAAATCTTTAAAAATGAGAGGATTTGTTGCATAGCTTCCTGTACAACACTCTTCGGGCACCATAGATAAGGGTAGAAAACTTATAGGCACCCGGTTGAAAATAGCCTTAAAACAAACACTAATTCCGCTTTAAATGAGAAAAGACGCTGTGACAACTTCTTTAAACTCGTATTCGGTCACTTTTCTTGTAAGAGCGAGG